GGGCTGTGGGGTTGGGAGGGATATGCTGAGAAATGAAGGGGTTCCTATCACAAGGCCTCTACCTACCTGAGATTCTTCCCGTACTGAGTGAGTAAGGACCCTGTGTGTATTTGAGAAAGGAAGGACTTGTGCCAGAGTGGCAGTGATTAGATTGATAAGTAAGATCATAGGACAGGGCCATGAGATCTGTGATGACTCAGTCGTAAAGGCACTTGCCAACATCCCCGTTGACCTGAGTTTAATCCTTGGAATCCACGTGATATACGCAGGGAACTGACTCCATAAAGTTCCCTCTGACCTCTGCATGTGTGCGCACATACATACATAAACACTCGTAAATACATAAATGTAACTTAAATAGACCATGAGCCAGAGCTAGAGTGTGGGAAAAGAAAAACTGATCATTTCCTCATTTCTCCTTTGCTCCTGAAGAGACCTATGAAAGGCTTGAGGCTGACAAAAAGAAGCAGGTTCACAAGAAGCGGAAGTGCCCTGGGCCAATCATCACCTACCATTCGATGACAGTGCCACTCGTTGGGGAGCCCGGTCCCAAGGAGGAGAATGTGGACGTGGAAGGGTGAGTGACTCCCGTGCCCCTGGCTTCTCCCCCATCCCACTCCTCACCACACATCTCAGATCTCATCCCTTCCTGTAGCTCTGGCTGGCCTGAACTCACTATGTAGCCCAGGCTAGCCCCAAACTCATGATCTATCTACCCGTGTCTTTCTCTTTACTACTTAGTACTGGGATCACAAATGTGAATCACCATGCCTAGTTTTTATTTGTTTGTTTCCTGAAACAGTGTTTCTGTGTGCAGCCCTGGCTGTCCTTGAACTCGCTCTGTAGACCAGAGCTGGCCTCAAACAGAGATCTGCCTGTGGAGTTAAAGGCATGCTCCCCGCCTAGCATTTTTATTTTACTTATTTAATGTTAAATGTGTATCAGTGTTTTGCTTGCGAGTATGAAGAAGGGGACAGATACCTTGTAACTAGAGTGGAAAATGGTGTGAGTTACACTTTGGGCTCCCATATCTTCGGGAGAGTAGCCAGTGCTCTTTTTAAAAAAAAAAAAAAATCAGTTATTATGTATACAGTGTTCTTCCTGCAGGCCAGAACTCAGATTGCTAGGAATTGAACTCAGGACCTCTGGAAGAGCAGTCAGTGCTCTTAACCTCTGAGCCATCTCTCCAGCCCAGCAGCCAGTGCTCTTAATTACTGAATCATCTTTCCAGCCCCATGTCCAGCTTTTTGTTGTTTTTGTTTGTTGTCTCTGCAGTGGCTTAAAACTCAGGGAATCATTTTCCCTCCACCTCTTGAATACTGATGTTACAGGCATGAACCACCACACCCAGCCTGACTTCTTCCTCTCTCTGCCTCTTATCTTCTCCTCAGCATTTTGTATTTTCTGTCTTTTGCCCTCAGACTTGATCCTGCTCCTGCAGCTTCTGCATTGACCCCACACACTGGGACTGGAGCCACCGGCGCTCCTGCTCACTGCTCACGCACCTTCATCACATTTAGTGATGATGCAACATTTGAAGAGTGGTTCCCCCAAGGGCGCCCCCCGAAGGTCCCTGTGCGGGAGGTCTGCCCAGTGACCCACCGTCCAGCTTTGTACCGCGACCCTGTAACAGACATACCCTATGCCACTGCTCGAGCCTTCAAGATCATTCGTGAGGCCTACAAGAAGTACATCACTGCCCATGGACTGCCACCCACTGCCTCGGCCCTCGGCCCCGGTCCCCCGGCCCCTGAGCCACTCCCTGGCTCTGGGCCCCGGGCCTTGCGGCAGAAAATTGTCATCAAGTAGACGCTTGCTCCTTAGAAATGTCTTTCTTCTGCTGACCTGGGCTCACAGGTCCGCCGTTCCCTTTGTCCTCGCTCATCTTTGCTCTGGGTTTGGTTTGGTTTGGTTTTGTTTTGTTTTAAATCATTTCCTTCCCTAGTTCATTCTGGTTTTGTTTTGTTGTTTTTTTCAATTCTAATAAAATGGTAAAATCCCTTTTGTGTGGTGTGTAGGGTTGGAGGCAAGATATGAATGTGTTAGAGTATAGGTATATTTGAGTTGTTTAGTTTTGTTTGTGATAGCGTTGAACACGTGGCCTTGTTCATACTGGACAAATGGTCCGCCACTGAGATACCCCCTCAGCCTTGTATGTTTTCTCCCTCTTTCCCTTCCTCTTCTTTTTTCTCTCTTTTTTAGGACAGGGGTCTCTACCTAGCCTAGGCTGGCCTCAGGATCTCCCTGCCTTTGCCTCCCAAGTGCTAGAATTTGTCTTGGCTGTCACACCTGTCCCTATATCTGTTTTATTGTTTTATAGCACTTTTTATGAACTTTCAAACCACCTTGTTTTTTTTTTTTTAAATCTCCACACAGGGCTTCTCTGTGTAGCCCTGGCTGTCCTGGAATTCGCTCTATAGACCAGGCTGTTCTTGAACTCACAGAGATCCACCTGCCTCTGCCTCCTGAGTGTTGGGATTAAAGGCCTGTGCCACCACCGCCCGGCCTTGTTTCTTTATTTTTAAAACATAAGTTCTTACTAAATTGTTCTGGGTAGTTTCAGACTCCTGGGCTCAGGCAGTCCTTCAGCCACAGCCTTCCAAGTGCTAGGCCTAGAGGCGAAATTGCGGTCCCTGCTCTGTCTTTTATTAGTACATATGTATTATACAAAGTAATTGGCTTCATAAAGATGCTTTTGTTTGATCCTGTCACATATTTTTATTATACTTACCCGGGTTGTTATCTAGGCAAATGTAAACTTGATCCTGTCCTTGGGGACCTGACAGAGGCAGTACTGACTCTACTTAGTTGTAAATGTTCCTTTAAGAGACAGGCTCTGCCCACTCCCGCTCTCTTTCTGCTGTCTCTCTCTCTCTCTTTCTCCCCCCCCACCCCCTTTCCCAGTAAACTTGCCTCTCATTTAAGCTCTGTTTGATGGCGTGTTTGTCCCCTGCTATATGATCCACGGTCCCATCTCGCACTGCATGTCATTACATGGGTTGTCCATATTTAATTCTAAAGTATTTGTTCTTTCAACTAAAGTTAGATACCAAATCAAAATCCTTACTTGAGAGAGTGTGTGTTTGTGGGTGGTGCGCACATGCAGATGCCACCAGTGTCTTCTGTAATTCTTTCTCTTCCTGAGTCTAGGCTATCAGAAGCCAGCAGCCTCCAGTGATCCTCTGTCTCTGCCGCCCACAGAAGCTGGGGTACAACATGTGTGAAATGACCAGCTTGTTATGTGGGTGCAGGAATGGCAGCTCCAGTCCTCACAATTACACAGCGAAGAACCACTTGAGCCATCTCTAGCTCCCACACCCCTTTAAAAAATGTTTTGTAGTCAGGCAGTAGTAGCGAATGCCTTTAATTCCAGCAATTGAAAGGCAGTGGCAAGTGACTCTGTGAGTTCGAGGCCAGCCTGGTCTACAGAATGAGTTCCAGGACAGCCAGGGCGACACAGAGAAACCCTGTCTCTAAAAAACAAAAACAAAGCCGGGCGATGGTGGTGCACACCTTTAATCCCAGCACTTGGGAGGCAGAGGCAGGTGGATCTCTGTGAGTTCGAGACCAGCCTGGTCTACAAGAGCTAGTTCCAGGACAGGCTCCAAAACCACAGAGAAACCCTGTCTCGAAAAACAAAAACAAAAAAACAAAACAAAAGGCTTTGCTATAGTTCATGCTGTTCTCCATGTTGTAGCAGCCCTGCCTCAGCCTCCCGTGTGGCGGGAATACGGGTGTGAGGCACTGTCTGGCTGCACTGACATACCACCCTATGTTCGGTGCTTTGAACGGAGCAGGAGCAGGCACCGCACAGTGGGAGTCATCTGATCTCCCCTGGAGGACTCTGCTCGTAGGGGAAGAAAAGGTGTCATGGCTGGGACTGGCCACTAGAGGCTCTCAGGGCTGGGCAAGGTATGGGGTCTGTGTATATGTGATCTCCCACCACTCCCCACCTGGCCAGAGCTAAAATAATAAAATGCTGAGCTCACTGTTCCCCCACTCTCTCCCCCGGCACCAGACTCCTCCTGCTGACCGGACGGTGCCCTAGTAGAACAGACGGACCAACTGACAAGGGGAGGTGAGAGGTGGCAGCTAGGACTGGTGGGTGGGAAAAGAGGGGTCTTCTGGGTGAGGGCCTGGTGGGTGATAGGAAGGAAGAGTGGCCCCAGGGGAAGTGAGCTGGTGTGTCCTTGCCTCTGTCACTCTATGTTTCTGCGACGTCCCTGTCCTGACTCTGTGCGGCTTATGTTGCTAATGTCTCCCTTTCAGGATCATCTTCCATGTTAAGCATGATGTGTATGTAGAGGTCGGGAGCATTCTTCACACAGTGAAAAGCTTACTCGTCCCACTACCCCATTTAGAAGGCTTTGTTGTTTTTGTCCAGAGCTCTGGTGTCACCTTTCTGGTGACAGATTATGGGAACCGAATGCCTTCTGAGGCCATATTGCCCTTCTCCCAATCTGGAAGTGCCCCAGCTTCTAAGCCTTACTTTCCCCTCACAGTTTAGAATTTTAGCAAATACAAAAAGTAAGATCTTGGTCCTTTACAATAAAGGAGGAAATGAGAATGGCATAAGAGGCCGCCAATCCAACCCAGCCATTCTTCCTCACTTACCAGTTTTGGAAGAGGCCTGGGTGTTGGGGAAGAGAGGAGGAATTTCCCTGGAGCTCTCTGTCACCCCCTCCCACCTTTCAGTGGGAACTGGGCATGCAGCCACTGTGCTGACAGGGCCTCCAGCAGCTGTGTCAGGGCAAGAGACACTGTCGGGTAAAGTAGGGGAGGGCCCTGTCAGTTTTTCTCCATCACAGTGGGTGCGCAGACCCAGCCTGGAGCTTAGACTCCTCAGCCAGAATGGCTGCAAAGTGCAGGAACCAGGAAGGAAACTGTAACAATGAACGGTCTAATCTTTCCGTCCCCAGTAGACCCTGGTCTCCAAGGTGTCTAGCTCAGTGTTCTAACCATGGCTGGACTTCTGTGTCCTCAGTATCCATGTTCAACACCTTTTCCCATATCCCTCCAGGCTGTGAGTGTCGCACGGTGGGGAGGGGGAGGGGCCACCATGTCATCATATCAGAAGGAACTGGAGAAATACAGAGACATAGATGAAGATGAGATCCTAAGGACCTTGAGCCCCGAAGAGCTGGAACAGCTGGACTGTGAGCTACAAGAAATGGACCCTGAGGTAGGGGCACCAGCACAGGGACCGGAGCATCCCTACACATGCGGGAAGGAGTGGATGCTGGGTGGCTGAGACCAGTGCCTGAGCCAGGGAACCAGCACAGGGGTCAGAGCATCCCGCACATGCGGGAAGGAGTGGATGTTGGGTGGCTGTGACCGGGGCTACCAATAGGACCTGGAATCCTAGAAGGGCCAGGGAAAAGATGTCTGGAGAGTGCCTGATTTGTTCCCCAAAACTCATCCCTAAGAATATGCTCCTGCCAGCTGGACTGAGACAACGTGACCAGACAAAGAAGAGTCCAACAGGGCCACTAGACCGAGATGCCCTGTTGCAGTACCTGGAGCAGCAGGCACTGGAAGTCAAGGAACGTGATGACTTGGTGCCCTTCACTGGCGAGAAGAAAGGTACGGGCACCCTAACATCTATGCCCTACAGGAAGCAAACGGCTGTCCCTGGCACTTTTCCGTTAGCTCCCCTCCCCTTTCTAGCAACCATCTATCAGGAATTCCAGTGCTGGACACCTGCATGCTAGTTTGTTCTCTTCGATTTTTGTTGTTTTCAATTTTTTTTTTGAGGTAGGATCTCACTGTGTAGCCCAGGTTGGCCCTGAGCTAGCAGACTGCTAGCTCAGTTTACCAAATGCTGGGATTGCAGACACATGCTGCCTCACCAGCATGTGTGTACTCTTCAGTTTTTCCAAGAGTGGAGAGGACAGGACTCAAGGGTCCTGTGCTTGTGGGGAATTCAGGCTTCAGTCTGACCCCACATGGAGAAATAAAGGAAGGTGGATGCTCTTCCCGAACTGTCCTTCATCCCTCCATCAGGGAAACCCTATATTCAGCCCAAGAGAGAAATCCCAGCAGAGGAGCAGATTACACTGGAGCCCGAACTGGAGGAGGCACTGTCCCATGCTACAGATGCTGAAATGTGTGACATTGCAGGTGGGCAGCCGGGAAGTCAAGGAAGGTGGGAGGATGGGGCTTGTGCCATCTTTACCTTGATACAGAACTAGAGGGAAAAGTCCAAGCCAGAACATGGACATCTGAGAAAGCCTAAGGCAGTGGTTTTTAACTTTTATTTGTTTGCTTGTACACTGGTTCATTCTTTTTTTTTTTTAATTTAATAAGATAACATCCCAGGAGTAACCTTCCAGGGATCATAAAGGCAGATGAGGCTGAAAGCAGCAGAAGATCTTGTCTGCAGACAGGCCTCACCCTCTAGCGGCTCCTCAAGGGGCTCCCCGAGCCCTCTCAAATTCTAGAAATCACTCTAAGGCAGGTGCATGGAAGAGACTCCTGGAGCTGAGGGAGGGTGAGAAGCTCGGCAAGAGTGGACGGTCAGGCTGTGGAACTGCTTCAGGAGAGAGGCAGGAGGCAGGCCTGTGGCAGGTGCCTTAACTGCCATGTCCCTCTGCTTACCCTCACCAGCCATCCTGGGCATGTACACACTGATGAGCAACAAGCAATACTACGATGCCATCTGCAGCGGGGAGATCTGTAACACCGAAGGCATTAGCAGTGAGTGTGCTGGGGGAGCTCCAGGGGCTGAGGAGGCTCCACTGTGAGACATGCTGCCTGAAGGTTTAGAGAGCAAGTGGGGAGATGGAGTAAGGGATATGTTGGGGTTCCCTCTCGGCTCTTATCCCCACCAGGTGTGGTACAGCCTGACAAGTATAAGCCAGTACCAGATGAACCCCCAAATCCCACAAACATTGAGGAAATGCTAAAGAGAGTGCGGAGTAATGACAAAGAGCTGGAGGAAGTGAACCTCAATAACATACAGGTATTTGACTCCCATCCCCAAATCGTAGCAGGAATAGCTGTGGAGGCATGAGGATCTTTAGTCCCCATCCTGTGTCCCTTAGGACATCCCGATACCCGTGCTCAGTGAGTTATGTGAAGCAATGAAGACTAACACCTATGTCCGGAGCTTCAGTCTGGTGGCTACAAAGAGTGGTGACCCCATCGCCAATGTAAGGCTGGCTGCTGTCCCCAGTCCTCTTCCCATACCCTGCCATGCACTCCTGGCAAGGGCTGTCTTTCTGGTCACACTGGGGGGTGCTGTTCCCATCATGAGTTATATGGCAGCCCTCAGAGATCCCGTACCCTTACCTCTCTGGCTCACAACTCTGAAGTTCCAAGGCATTTCCCCCCAAAAAACAACCTTCTCTAGTAGCCTCGATCCTGCCGGTGATCTTAACCTTCACGCTTTCACCGACTCCCCAACCCTGGCTCCTCAGGGAACTGCAAAGGGCTGTGTCCCTCCTGCTCCCCTTCTGCCTCTCCTCAGTCACCTACGAACCTGTCCCCAACCTTAACACAAGTCCCTACCACCCAGGCGGTAGCTGACATGTTGCGTGAGAACCGTAGTCTCCAGAGCCTGAACATTGAATCCAACTTCATCAGCAGCACAGGGCTCATGGCTGTGCTGAAGGCAGTTCGGGAGAACGCCACTCTTACCGAGCTCCGTGTAGATAACCAGGTCAGCATTCCGACCCCAGGGTCACTCATCCAGCTAACACCCACTGAGTTCCTCCCTGGGCAGCTTATTGGGCAGCAAGGGGACCAGCACTCCCTTCACCTACTCTAGAGAAACAAGCCTCTCAACTTCCCGGAGACCCGTGGCTGGGCTGAAGAACCATAGGTTTCTGACAGCTTCTGCCTCTCTCCTCAGCGCCAATGGCCTGGTGATGCAGTGGAGATGGAAATGGCCACTGTGTTAGAGCAGTGTCCCTCTATTGTGCGCTTCGGGTACCACTTTACACAACAGGGACCACGAGCTCGGGCGGCCCAGGCCATGACCCGGAACAACGAGCTGCGTAAGTAGCTGTGGAGCCCGTGTAGAGACGAGGGCAAGTGCCGAGATGGGCACTGAAAACAGACTTAGTGATGGAGGCTTGGGTAGCTGGCACACACGCGGAGAGGAATGAGTGAGAAACAGATACAAAGTCCATCTTCCCCCAGCACACATCTGTAGAGAAGCGGGTGGGAGCTCGGCATGACAGTACCACCCAGAAACACGTCCTCTTATTTCCCAGTGTGTTCTTGATTTGTTGTTAACATGGGACAGGCCCCTGAGGTGGCATGGGGCAGCAGTTTATAGTCTAAGGAAAGGGGAAGAGAAACACACCCTTGCCAAAACAAGAGATGAAGCTGTGTCACCATTCTCCCTTTATAGGTCGCCAGCAAAAGAAGAGATAGTGTCACGCTTCCTTTTGCTAACAAGAGATGAGAGCCCTGGACACATAAGTCCTCATCTCTCTTCCCTTTCCTGTAAATAAAATCCCTTTTGTTCACGCCGCCTGTCTCCTTCCTTGGGTTGGGGTGGGAATCTTGGCGCTACCCCTCAAGGGTTACTGCCAGTTCATCAAGGGATTATTTATACTCTGGGGATCAGCAGGCAGGGAGGTTCAGGTTACTAGGAGGAGGGGAAGCTCTGTTCCTTGTGTTCCCCATAAATCTGCCAAAGGCTTCAGTCTCTTCCCAGGGCACTTGGCTGCAGTGCTCTCTGCAGACAGAGGTGGCCAGAGCTCCTGTGCCCATTGGCCATCCACATGTGAGCTGAAGGAAAGGGACTGAGGGTGGAGGTGGGGAGGGAGTCAGACTACACGAAGGGCAGGGACCTCCTCCTGACAGACTTATTAATAGGGCACCGGGCTGAATGCAGCTGACGCTTGGCAAGGCTTTGGTAGAGAGTGGGGGAGGGGTCAGAGTATGGAGCCATGGACGCTGCAGGAAAGGAGTGGCCAGGCTGAGAGGAACAGATTTGAAATCCTAAGGTCGAACAAGGAACAACTACAGTTTATCTGTGGAAGAAATGGGGCGAGGGGTTGTTAGTCCATGGGGAGATCAGGGGGCTCTTCCTCATCCGAGTCAAATTCAACATTCTCATCTTTTATCCATCGGCCTTGTCCATCTGGGACCCATCCCGAGCTGGAAACATCAGAGAAAAGACAATGGGTCAGGAGAGAGGTCTTTTGGTTTGTTTGTTTATAGAGACAGGGTTTCTCAGTGTAGCTCTGGAGTCTGTCCTGGCACTCACTCGCTTCTGTAGACCAGGCTGGCCTCAAACTCAAAGATTCGCCTGCTTCTGTAGGCGGAGACTGCTCATCCGTTTCTTGGCCACCCAGATCCGAATAATCACAAAGAAACTATATTAATTACAGCACCGTTTAGCCAATGTCTCAGGTGTATTTCTAGCTAGCTCTTACATCTTAAATTAACCCATTTCTATCAAGCTATGTATCACACGGCTGTGGCCCACTGGTAGGCAATAGGCATCTTTCTCCTTCAGCAGTTACACGGTGTCTCCCTGACTCCGCCTTCTCTCTCTCTCTCTCTCTCTCTCTCTCTCTCTCTCTGTTTGAATTTCCGGCCTGGCTTTGCTCTGCTAAGCCACTGACAGAAACAGCTTTATTCATTAACCACTTAGGTAATAAAACATATTCACAGCATACAGAGGAGAATCCTACATCATTCTCTGCCTCCCAAGTGCTGGGATTAAAGGTGTGTGTCACCACCGCCCAGCAGAGAAGAATTTTATGAATAAGGTTCACGGTGCTGAGTCCCAACCCCGGGACCCACAGGGTAGAAAGAAAGGACCAACCCACATAGGTCGCCCTCTGACTTACACAAGTGTACCCCAACATAAATAAATAAATGTAATTTAAATAAAAAGTTACTGGTGATTAAAAAAAAAAAGCAGCTGGATTGGTTTGAAAAGGGTGGGTCAGGGAAAAGTGAAGGCAACCCAAAGAATGTGATTGGCGGACTAACCTTCGAAGGGTAAGGTAATGGTTCAGGATTCGTCGTTTCGTGGGGCTCATGGGAGCAGATGACTCTTTGGCATGCGATCCTGCCTTAGGTTCGGGTTCCCTACTGATCTTTGCACTCTGGAGTCCAACCTCTGGGGCTGGCAAAGGAGAACTGGAGACAGAGGGAGCAGGGGCTTCCGGTCTGTGTAGAGAAGAACCCAAGTCTTGCAATGCATTGAAGGAAAGCAGCAGTTACCATGCCTCCCAAGCCCTCAGAGCAGTGCTTCCTGAGCTGAGCTCCTGAACTGAGACGGGGACAGGGTCTTACTCTGCACCAGAATGGCCTTGAACTCACAGAGATCTGCCTGCCTCTGCCTCACAAGTGCTGGGATTAAAGGCGTACGCCACCACTGCCCAGTTCAATGTTACTAGTCCCCACTTTCTAAAATTTATCTTAAAAGTCATAAACTATCATTTTTCTTTCTTTTTTTAAATATTTATTAATTATGTATACAATATTCTGTCTGTGTGTATGTCTGCAGGCCAGAAGAGGGCACCAGACTCCATTACAGACGGTTGTAAGCCACCATGTGGTTACTGGGAATTGAATTCAGGACCTTTGGAAGAGCAGGCAATGCTCTTAACCTCTGAGCTATCTCTCCAGCCCCTCATTTTTCTTTAAACATCTCCACAATACAATAAATATTAGTATTGCTCAGAATACACTTTGGAGAGCAATAACTTTAGAGGCATCTACTTCCTTCTACCCTTTCCCACTCGGGTGTCCAAGTCCACAAACCTGTGTTTCCTCCGGCAGCAGCTGTTATAGTGGGGAGCTCTGTGCAGAGCACTCTGCGTGATCAATCGGGTCTGGGTTAGCAAAGGCGCCTGTTTAGGGAGGAAAGAGACAGATCAGAGCTGCGAGAGCAAAAGTCCCTTCAGGTCTGGAGCATGCAATACAGCCGGAACACCTGACCCGCTCTCGCACCTCAGCTTTGGTTTCTGTCTTCAGGTCTTTCTGCTGCCTTGGATTTTGCTCTGTTTCCTTGCCTGCCTGCTTTTTGCCATAGAAGAGCTTCAGACCTGAAAAGCAAAGGGGATGCAAAGCACAACAGCAGGGGGTTTGCTAAACTAAAAGTCCAGAGTTTATTCTCCATCATTCTTCCCTTCCCTCCTTCCCCTATACTTACTGGACAGATGCTTCTTGCCTGCACGGTGGGCAGTCAGCATGGCCAGGGTGTCCAGTACTGGGCGATGGGGGCAAATGGCACACGCAAAGCTACGGAAAGGAGAAGTGAAGTGAATGATAAACCCGTGCGAGTTCCAGAGCAGGCGGTGGGGCTGTTCCTGCTGGAGCAGGGGCTCCGCCTGTCAAAGCACTTCTTCCAATCGCCACTTCCCACCAAAGAATCCTACCATACTCCTGAACTACTCAGTAACAAAAGTCTGTTGAGCCTCTGATCGCAATACCCAGGCTCGATCCACCCTTCACGCTCACCGTCCATCCCGCAGCATCAGCGCCTCATCCTCTGGGATGTAGCTGGCCAGCAAGTCTCCAACCCGTCGTTTCTGCAGAGAGCAGGACAGGAGAAATGAGGAAGTGGGATGGATGAAAGGGATAAAGAGTCAAATGGAACGGGGCCATGCAGACCATAGGGTAAGAAGGAGGCATCACTCAGTTCTGGTCCCCTAACAGTGCAGCTGAAGCTGAGCAGTCTCACAGTCTCTCTCTCTCTCTCTCTCTCTCTCCCTCCCTCCCTCCCTCTCTCTTTGGTTTTTCGCGACAGGGTTTCTCTGTATAGCCTTCTTGGCTGTCGTAGAACTAGTTGTGTAGACCAGGCTGGCCTCGAACCTCAAACTCTGCTTTTGCCTCCCAAGTGCTGGGATTAAAGGCGTGAGCCACCATTGACCGTGGTCTGATTCACACTAGGGCTTCTTACTTTTAGCACATTGAGCTGACTCCAGTCGTCCCCTTCCCTCTTGAAAGACATCGCAACTGTGAGTCCCAGAAATAATAAATTCTCCTACTTCGCTTCTCCTTCAGGCCACCGTAGGAAGAGTAGGGTATCGCTTTCTCTGCTTCCTGTCTTTTTCAGGTTGAGCCTGTACTTCCGAGGATGCATTTCCACGCATGCACTGCGCGAGCCGGAAGACCCGCCTCCAGCGCCCTAAGGGGGCCTGCATTTTCTCTGACGCCCTGAGGACGCTTTGCCTCTTGGGAAATGAAGTCTTTTAGTTATTATTTTTTCCTATTTTTCGAAGAGCTTACCGTTCACCTGAATACAGGCCCGCGCATCTCGAAGGATCCAGGTGTTTGGAGACCAGGAGCCTGAATGCGGAGCCGGCGTTTCGGGGTGGGACATCCCGATGTGGAGTGAGGCTTCGGGAGTCTCAGTGGACTGTGTACTGCGAACTCTCGCAGTCCTCAGGCTCAGCGCCCGCAGCCACAACCCACCTGGGGGTGGGCCTGATTTGGAGCCGAGAGGATAGGGGCGCTCCCGGCGGCCTGGCTGCGGGAGGTGGGGGCACACTGAGGGAAGCGTGTTGGTGAGGGAGTCTAGGGTTCAGAGGTCAGAGATCAGGCTTGCGAGGAGTTGGAGGGGGGCGTCGAAAGTCGAGGGGGGCAGCGACTGACAACTCACGCAAGATATTTATGAGTAAGGGGCTTGAGGAAGGAGAGATGTAACCGGTCTGGCAACCTTCTTCGGGTACGGGCTGTGACCCCGTACTCGCTCGGTAAGCTGCAGAAAGAGGAGGAAGACCAATGTAGTCTCTCGAGAGCCACGAGACTGAAGAGAGACGAGAGAACGGAAAAGGAATTCCCTGAATATCTATTCCTTGCGTTCGGCTCTCACTGTTGGCCACTGAGCCAGGCTTTCCTCAGTTGTGACCGTAGGTCTTGGCATCCCGAGGAGATGGCTTCTCCCTCTAGACAGCCCCCACTCGGGGGGTCAGGGCTGCTGCAAGGGAGCCGTGCTCGTTCTTATGGAAGCCTGGTACAATCGTCCTGCTCCCCAGTGAGGGAAAGACGCCTGGAGCATCAGCTGAAGCCTGGAGATACCCTGGCTGGACTAGCTCTCAAATATGGGGTGACGGTGAGTCTTCCAAGGATTGGGGCTGTGATGACCATTTAGGAGAGAGTTGTGACCCGCTAAGCAGGCTTCCCTGACGTTATATTAATTATATTGTGTCTGCTTTGCCCTTCTTACTTGTTTTCACATCTCAGTGCAGTACTATCTAGTTGGGACACATCCGCCCCACTCTCCCAGTGGGAGGAGCAGCTCCTGTGGATTGGGCTGGCCGCGGGGGTGGTGGGGTTGGGGGTGGACCTATCAACCTGAGACTTAAGACTGATAACCAGTTAGCCTGCAGGTATGTCTGTTGTATGAGGGTTTCAGGTCCCCTGGAACCGGAGTTAGACGGCTGTGAGCTGTCATGTGGGTGCTGGGAATTGAAGCCGGGTCCTTGGAAGAGCAGCAGTGCTCTCAACCGCTGAGCCATCTCTGCAGCCCTGGTAACCAGTTTGATGAAGGTCAGATAACTTGAGTGTCAGAGGGAGGTTTCAGTGTCTTACTTAAGTCACTACCATTAGTCACGCAGAAACACTGGGAGTGGCTAACCCTTTACAGCAAGTCAGGAAGAGTTAGTAGAATTCCCCAAGTGCCTGCTCTAGTTCTTCCCGCTCCAGGGCTGTGCTTTCTTTCCAATGAGGCACAAAACAAGTACCCTCTACATACATCGAGTATTTCTGGTCACACCTAGGAGGAGTTTGATGGGCATAAAAGTTAAAGTTGTAGCCATCCCCTCTGGATCCTGTTTTACTGGTAACATACAAACAGATGTTGAATTTAGACAAATTCCCACGCCTGCTGTACTTAAAGCATTATAGTAACCCTTCCTGGAGATAAAACATAAATGTATACTGTTGTGTTCGTGTTTAAATTCTGTGAGAAACGGAGAAGAAGCAATGGTTATGTAAGGAATAGTCATGAGGAGTGGGAAACCAGGAACTATTCGTTTTTATTTGGAAGTGGGAGTGGATATCAGTTGATGTGGAATTTTGTTTGGCGGGGAGGGTGGATTTTCTAGTCGGTATGTCACTGTGTAGCCTAAGCTGGCCCGGAACTCACAGTGCTCCTGTGTCGTGAGGGCTGAGATGGGTGTGAGCGATGGACGCTATGGTAGGTTTTCCTCACTATGGGCCTTGAAGACTTAGAAACCTTGCCCTCCGTGTCCCCTTCTACAGGTCTGTCTGACCCAGATGTTTATGTCTTTGACTTCCAGCTGTGCACAAGCTCTTTTTTTTTTTTTTTTTTTTTTTTTGGTTTTTTCGAGACAGGGTTTCTCTGTGGCTTTGGAGCCTGTCCTGGAACTAGCTCTGTAGACCAGGCTGGTCTTGAACTCACAAGAGATCCTCCTGCCTCTGCCTCCCGAGTGCTGGGATTAAAGGCATGAGCCACTATCGCCTGGCTTTTTTTTTTTTTTTTTGAGTGTACAAGCCCTTTAAGAGCAGAAATAGTTTCCTTTTAACCTTCCGTCTCTAAATTCTGGCCTAGTCTCAATTACATGGAAATTTAACAGCTATCTGGAAGCACACCTTCAATCCCAGCACTCGGGAGGCAAAGGCAGGCGTATCTCTGTGGGTTTGAGGCTAGCCTGGTCTATAGAGTGAGTTTTGGGACAGCCAATCTACCCTGAGAAACCCTGTCTGGAAGGAAGAAGAAAGGATGCCTGAAAGCCAGGCTTGGTTACACAGCCTGACAGCTGGCTCAGAGTTCTAGGCCAGGGCCACACATAGCAAGACCAAGGGAACTGGTGATTTGAAAGTGTAGCTCAGTGGAAGAATGCAGACAAGAGACAAGGCTAGACCCGTCCTGTGTGGGCTAGCTAGAGAAAGGCCTTGAGTCCCCACTTAGATTTTGTTGTTTAGCCCAAGAGGAGCCACAGAAGTTGCTGAGCCAGCTGGAGGGTTAATCAGATTCACTTTTCTAGATGGCAAGGGGAAGATCTGTGGACAGGAAAGAGGAAGAGCAATTAAACAAACAGTTAGCCCGGATGAGAGAGAGTGGTGTGGTGTTGGCATAGGACTGTGAGAACGTGTGTGAGAGTTTTGTGTATTTATAATTGTTGGAGGTCTGCTAGAGGTCCAGCCCAGGGCTCTGCACACGCCAGGCAAACACTGCACCGCAGAGCCACAAATACAGCCCCATCCAGATTTAGTTATTTTATTGTTAACCAGGTCTCATTATGTAGCTTGATTGCCTTCACACTCAGAAATCCCCCTGCCTCTGCTTTCCAAGTGCTGAGATTAAAGATGTGTACTGTCACCAGGCAGTGGTGGCACACACCTTTGAGCCCATCATTCAGAAGGCAGAGGCAGGGGGATCTCTAAGTTTGAGGCCAGCCTGGTCTATACAGCAAGTTCTAGAACAGCCAGGGCTACACAGAGAAACCCTGTCTCAAAAAAACCAGGAAAAAGAAAGGTACACTACCACACCTAGCTCAGCTTTGTTATTTTATTTTAAGTTTATTTTTAGTGTTTTCTTGCATGTATATCTGTGTGCCATGGGGGTGCCTGGTGCCCCCAGAAGTCAGAAAAGGGTTTTGGATCACCAAGAACTAGAGTTATGGATGGTTGTGAACCACTGTGTGGGTGCTGGAAATTGGTCCCCCTCTGCAAGAGCAGCCAGTGCTTGCTTTTTTTTTTTTTTTTGGTTTTTCGAGACAGGGGGTTTCTCTGTGGTTTTGGAGCCTGTCCTGGAACTAGCTCTTGTAGACCAGGCTGGTCTCGAACTCACAAGAGATCCGCCTGACTCTGCTTCCCAAGTGCTGGGATTAAAGGCGTGCACCACCACCGCCCGGTGCAGCCAGTGCTTTTAACTATTAAAACCATCTCTCCAGCCTCTCAGCTTTAATTATTAATAATTAATTTATTGTTATTAATTATTTAATTGTTAGCTTTAAATACTACTAGCTTGTTCTGTTTTGTTTGAGACAACGTCCCTGGGAACTCAAGCTAGCTTCAGACTCTTCTTGGCTGCCCCTAGGGAGCTGGGGTAGGAGGCTTTTGCCACCACTCCTGTTTGCTGCCTTAAATAGATGAAAGGGTTGTAGGTTGTTTTTTTGTTTTCTGCTGCAATAATTTTTAAAAATGTGAAAGTGTCCTAAGACTAGAAAATAGGAAAACGGTAAAACACGATTAACAGCAGCCTTTATGCTTGAGCTGGTGTATCATGGAGTCAAAGACTTGTACGACTGAAAACGTTTGCGGTGGTGGCTTGGGAAGATGGCCCGGTGGGTGCAGGCATGAAACAGTGCAGCAGTCTGGGCTCCGCTGAAGTGCACATATCCTCACCACCGTACCAACGACAAGAGTCCTAGATCCTGAGCCAGGCTTGGTTTGACATTAGCTTGGCCTACATAGCAAAAGAGAAAACAAAAAGTTTGAGATGCTATATAAGATTGGTGAATTTAGCCGGGCAGTGGTCGAGCATGCCTTTAATCCCAGCACTTGGGAGGCACAGGCAGGTGGATCTCTGTGAGTTTGAGGCCAGTCTGGTCTACAAGAGCTAGTTCCAGGACAGGCTCCAAAAGCTACAGAGAAACCTTGTCTCGGGGGAAAAAAAGGGTGGATTTTACTGTTGGTCATTCATTTTGGGTGTTTTTTGTTTTGTTTTGTTTTTTAAGATGGAACAGATTAAGCGCACAAACCGCCTTTATACTAATGACTCCATCTTCCTGAAGAAAACCCTCTACATCCCCATCCTGACAGAGCCCAGAGACCTGTTTAATGGTTTGGATTCTGAGGAGGAAAATGATGGAGAGGAGGAGGTACGACCCAGGAAAGATGGCGCTGGTTCACTTTCAGGGAAGAGGAAGAATCAAGAGTCAGGTTCAGGCCGGGCCAATGGTGAAGCCCTCCCGCCACACCAGGAAACCTCCACACCCATCCATGACCTTTCTGCCTCTGATTTCCTTAAGAAGCTCGATTCACAGATCAGCCTATCAAAGAAGGCTGCTGCCCAGAAGCTGAGGAAAGGGGAAAGTGGGTGAGTCTCCGGCTGACCCCTCGAAGGCCCTGCACAAACCCCTCTCTTTTAGCGAACCACAAACTAATAACAGAATGGCCTGGAAACGGAGGATATCCT